GGTATCGAAACCCTGATTCTAACGTTGTAACTCCGCAGACATACTGCTGTGCCACTGGGGGGCTGTTAATGTGCACTGAAAATATTTATAATTCGATAAGACTGTTGTACAGCTTGAGAAAGATCTCAACAGTTTGTCAATTCCATCTGTCTAAATCACAATTAATACATTTGTTTCTAAAATCGAAAAAAAAACTTAACATAATTTTTTAAACTAATAAAGGTTGTTCTTTTTCACTGAAGAAAGCGCTGAAATCATTAACACAAAAGTAAACTAGTTATCTAATTCGGATTAGCGCAATCAGCGAGATTATCACAGAATGTACAACTTAATATTGATGAGATGTAGATTGAATTTATATTTTCCGAATTTGATGTTTATTTTGCTATTACAACACTGAAATAATTTGTTACACTTCCGGTGAAACAAAAACAGCTTAGTATATCCATATTTCACAAAGGAAATGAAATTATTTACACATAATATTTAAAAAACAAGAGATCGAAACTCTTACATCTTCGTCCCTAAACACCTGCAAGTCTGGTTCTGGCAGAAAGCTGCCATACAACGCTAATGTCAGATCACCATCTTCCCTTGATATAGGAGTGTGTACGGTTACCTAAACACAAAACTTATATTAGTGGGTTTTGTTTAAAACCTCAAACTTTAAATGATTGACAAAAAGTAGCTTTATGAGATACTTGCATATGCTTGTAAGGTAGGATAATAGATTTATTAGAATGTTTACTCAGTTTCATTTACCGTCGTATCCTTAACATGTCTAGAATTTAGCCTGACAAACCCATTATTACAAAGCTTACACGTGTTCCAAGCTTGGAAATGCTTCCGTTTTTAGGGAAAACAATGAACTCTAAGCTTCAGAAAGATATGTTTCTCGTTGGCTCAGCGATAAGTTTAATAGCTTATGACGCCAAAAACCGGGCTTCGATACTTGCCGTGGGCACAGCACATATAGCCCGTTGTGTAGCTTCGTGCTTAACTTATAAATAGATATGTTTGTTGTTGTTTTTTTTATTATCAAACACAAAGCTACATAATGGGTTATCTTTGCTCTACCAACTGAGGGCATTGAAACTTGATTTTTCAGTATTATAATCTATTACACTTACCACTGAACCAACGGGAAGCCAAACAATCAGAAAGGTGGTTTTATTTTATTTCTAATTCGATCTATGATGTACAATTATACATCTAATGTTAACATTAATTTATCAAGCTGACAATTCTGTTCACTAATACCTGTACAAGTTTACTTTGAAAACGCACTGAATAATTTTTTAATGTTTCTTTTATTATATTTACTTTAGTTTTTCACTATTAACGAAAGCAGTGGTTTAGTTTCTGTCATTTATTTGTTTTCTGGTGTCATGTACTTCTAAAAAAAAAAACAACACGTGTTCCTTTTCATTAGAATTTGTGTGGTTAATTTTACTGCTATACAACTTATTGGAAGGATACCGAGGGATTTCCTTTTTCCTGATTTCCTATAATGTTAAACAAATGATTAATCTTGATTACACCTCTAGCGTTAAAATTTACAAGTAAATGACGCATAACGACCCATTCCAATTGTGTTTCTCACAAGCGGAAGTCTTGACACAGTGAACGACCGACACGGATTATATTTCTTACATTATACAAGCGTTAGTATTGACAGGGTGACCAATAAAAAGGTTTGATACTGGTTATATTTCTTACAAGCGTTAGTACTGAGTGAATAAGAGACACTGATGATGCTACTGATGTTAACAGTTCCTCGGTGAATGATCCCATCCCTGACCAGACACCTAACGTTAAGATATTTTCATACAATGGATGGCCCACACTAATTACGCATCTAACGTAAAAACATTTAGTGACCGAAGAGATCGACCGTCCTTGTAATACTCATTACAAACGTTAGCATTACACAGTGACCAAAAATGGAAGCAACTAAATAGCAATTACAAATGTTTTACGTTCTGAAAGAGCTTATCATGTTTTTGATAAATTAAAAATAATATCAACAATTTGAGTTCGATTTCACATCTGAAAAACATTCTTTTAAATAACAGGTTATGTGCAAGTACGGATATTGTCTCATATTATACATTATCTGACTAGCTAATACAGATAATACAGTATCTGACAAGCTAATACAGATTATACATTACCTAACAAGCTAACACAGATAATACATCATCTGACAAGCTAACCCAGATAATACATCATCTGACAAGCTAACACAGATAATACATCATCTGACAAGCTAATACAGATAATACATCATCTGACAAGCTAATACAGATAATACATCATCTGACAAGCTAATACAGATAATACAGTATCTGACAAGCTAATACAGATAATACAGTATCTGACAAGCTAATACAGATAATACAGT